AATAAGTAAAAAAATTAGAATTAAGAAAGTGCGGGACAATGAAAATATTATTTATTTATGTTGTGTAGGTTTATAAAAGAACTGCTTTGCCATTGGTTGAATATATTTTTCGAGGTGGAAAAGCAACATGTTTTGCATAGTATCCTTTCGACATATACATACAATTTAAATCATGTTTTATATTTATTTTATTTGAAGGAGAAAAATTGAATTCCTTTACTCTGAACTTTCTTTTTTTTTTTGATTAATTTCGAACCAGCGGACAAACAGGTTTGATTTAATTTTTAAATTATGTTTATTTTGAGCGATAAATGTTTTTATTTAAAAACGATTGTTATTAAATTTATTAGGTTCTGGAAAAACGTTTACTATGCTTGATGAAAAAAATGGTAACTTTTACGGGGTTTTTTTTTATTATTTCAATTAAATCAAATTTTCTGATAGTTATCAATAATAATAAAATTTTCTTGATGTAAATAGGTCTTTATGTAAAAGCAGCACGAGACATTTTTGCATTATTACAAAAGCCAGATTTTAGTTATTTAGCAGCCTATATAGGATTCTATGAAATTTATCAGGGGCAGTTGTATGATTTGTTAAATCAACGAAAAAAATTATATGCAAGAGAAGATGGCAAGAAAAATGTAATAATAACAGGACTTCAAGAATATGCAATCGATAATGTTGATAATTTGATGCAAGTTTTCGATTATGGAAACAATATTCGTAGTACGGGTAAGTAGGTGACTATGGTGTTGTTGTGTGACTATAATTATTTATTATCATTATCATTAATTTATAAAAAAATTTTTTTTTGTAGGAGCAACTGGCGCGAACGAAGATTCATCTCGATCACATGCTATCTTACAAATGGTATTAAAACACAAGAAAAACAGAAAGAAATTTCATGGTAGTTATATTAATATATGTGTGCGTGATTAATATAATTCATTAATATATTAAACAATTACACATTTACTATTGTTATAGGAAAATTAAGTTTTATTGATTTAGCAGGAAGTGAGCGAGGTGCAGATAGAGGAGAAGCTGATAAACAAACAAGGTACATGGATCCCCAATTAATTGAATACTTCAGATTATTAGTATTCATTTTGAGTAGAAGGAATGAATGTGTTATTGTGTGTATAGATGTATTTGTGTGTGAAATCGATAATAACAGCTTGACGAAATAATTGTGAAAAAAAATTTTTATTGTAGAATGGAAGGCGCAGAAATTAATAAAAGCTTATTGGCATTGAAAGAATGTATTCGAGCACTTGATCAAGATAAAAGACATACACCTTTTCGACAAAGTAAACTTACGCAGGTTTGTAAATATTAAAGATATTGGACAGGTTTCTTATGATAATAACAACAAAAATAACATTTATTAATTTTTGCTAACAGGTGCTGAAAGATTCGTTTGTGGGCAATTCGAGAACTTGTATGATTGCAACGATTTCACCAAACGTCACCAACAGTGAACATACATTAAATACATTAAGATACGCGGACCGGTAAAATAAATTTTACAAAAATAAAAACAAAACATGAGTTTTTTAGTTGTTGTTTAAATATTTCAAATTATTAATTAAAATTTATTCCACCCACGCATATATACACACACATATATAAAGTGTTAAAGAATTAAAATCAGAAAGAGATCGAGCAGACAGAGTCGCAGCAGGACTTGAATTGGCAGCAAGTGAATTGAACGATTTATCTGAAGAGCAACGGCAAGAATATTACAAACAAGCACATGAGAAATTGGAAGCAGAAGGAGAGTATGAAGTTGATTATGAGTTTGATGAAGAAGAAGGATTTGATGATGACTATAATGGAGAAGAAGATGGGAATAATACATTTGATGATGGTGGTGAGAATGATTCGGATTTATTTGACGAAGACTTGATTAGCGATGATGATGATTACTTGTTTAATGAAGAGTTACCATTTGATGGATTGGCTGATGTTGATTTTCCCGAACATAATAGAGATTTATTAGATGTTAGTGGTAATAGTAGTCTCAGCAATAGTTTTGAAAATAAAGTCATTATTAATAAAGTGAAGAATAATACTAGTAATAATAATAATCATCATAATCATAGTCATAGTCACCATCATCATCATAATCATCATCATAATAATAATAGTAATAGTAGTAGTAATGTAACCGATAATGGTGGTAAAAGAGCGGCAGATTTATTAAATTTCAATGGTAGTAATAATGATAGTGTTAATAATACACCAAAGTCGGATACGTCAGTTGCAACTATTTTATCATCATCGTCTACATCATCATTACCAAATTTTAATAATAATAGTCGCAGTCCGTCCTCAACTTATACTAATAATTTTAAAAAATTATGTAGCAATAGTAGTGTAGATTATGATGATTATAGTCATAATGATGATAATAATGATTATGATAAGGATGCAACAACAACGACATCATCCACCCAAAAACATATGTTATCATCATCATCATATTCACCGCATGAAATGGAAGAATTTCTTAAGAAACATCGACATGAGCTTAGAATAGCAAGTGATGCAGGGAAAAAGGAAACAAGGCTTTTAGCCCAATTTACAATAGACATTAGCAACTCTAAGCAAGATTTTATTAATAATAATGCATCATCAACAACGCTGACAAGGGAGATAAATGTGACTACATTCAATAATTACTTGAAAGAATTAGAAAGTATATTAGATATTAAAGAAAAAAGTCTATCAGAATTGAGAAGTAAGATTAAACAACTTAAAAAACGATGATGGTAAAACAATTTGTGTAATTCTTGGATGTAAATTTGAATTATTTAATGGATGATTTAATGAATAATGAATGAATGATTAGCGAATGGATTGAATTAGATATTAATGAATGATTGTAATTGAATTTAATGAGATTAGATGAATTAAAAACAAAATATTTGCATCAAGTTTATTTAAAAGAAACATTAAAACCATTTCTTGCATAAAACAACACAAAGAATTGAAAAAATGCTAAACGAAATCATTGAACATTTAGTAATCAATCCCAATTGTAATTACTGTATATATAATAAATAATAATTAGTAATGGCTGTGGGGTGTTAATGATAGTAGTAGTAATATTGTAGTAATATTATTATTATTTTCTTCCTTAAATTTTTATTTCTATTAGAAAAAAAAAAAAAGAGAATTCATTTTATTTAAAATTACCAAAGATTCTTTCCTTTGGATCTTCCTTATATATATTCTTTCATTATTTTTTTTAAATAATTTGCATAGAGATTTTATTTATTTATTTTTATTTTTATTTTTCATATGATCTTTTCATATGATCTTTTATTATTATACGATATCATATTATTAATTTCTTTTTGCTTTTATCTTTCTTTTATTTTATTTTATTTTATTTTATTTTCTTTGTGGTTTTTGATTTCCTTGTAGATATAGATGATTATTATTATAGTTGAATTTTATTAGTGTCAGTGGTAACTGGTTTAATTTGATGAGTTGTTTACTAAGGACTTTTTTTTTAATTATTATTCATTTAATGGGATTCTATTATTTTTTTTCTTTTAAATGATTTTTTTCTTTCTTTGTATTATTGTTATTTATATAATAATATCATTAATGTCTGTCTGGCTGATAAAAACATGAATATTTATTTATTTATTTATTTGTCCTGTTTATTCTGTTTATTTCATCTGTTTTTTATTTTATTTTAATTTATTCTTCCAAAAAAAAAATATATTATTTATTAAAAAAAAATACATACCTAATACTATATTACAGTATCATTCGTGGTATAATTTATTAATCAACTGATTATTAATTGATTATATATCTTATCAACAATTAATTAAAATCTTTAATATCAATTTTAATGTTTAATTAAAAATTTATTTACATTTTTCAACACTAACTACATATTAACTTAATCAATGCTGTAGCTAATGCTGACGATAAGATGATTTTTGTAGTTTTTTTGCAGAATTAATTCAAAATGTAGTATGATTCTGCAGCATGTATATATATATATATTATTAATATCTGTTATTGTACATTGTTTCTCGGAATTAAAAAAGTATTAAATATGCACATACAGCATGATCAAACATATTCATTCATTCATTTTTTTAATGTTTTGTTTTCACGTGATTACACACGAAATAAAAATTTTTCTTTAAGAAAATTGTAATAAAGAAAAGAAAGATAAAAAAACATCGGATTTTATTTTTACAGATTTAATTTATCTAAATTTTCACGTAGTTGATTACGTAGTTAATTAAGTAGTTGATATTTAAATATGGTTTGTTAGAAGTGCATATTGCGTAGCTGGTAATTTTAAAAAAGCTAAATGCGTAACTTTTTATTTTTTCTAGATAGTTATAGTTCTTTTGCTATATATATATTCATTCATTTGTTAGTTCATTACTATTAAGTTTATGTAGTAGTTAGCCAAAATGTATATAACAACAACAACAACAACAACAGCAGCAGCAGCAGCAGCAGCAGCAGCAGCAGCAGTAACAACAACAACAAAAGTGTGAGCTATTTTAAAATGGTAATTTTATTTATTTTTGATACTTACAAAAAATATACTTTGTCTTTCGTTTTCCTTTTCATTTTGCAAAAAAAAATAACGTGTTTATGCTTTTGTAGAAAATTAAATGTGAAAATGAATTATGAAAATTGCAAAGCATATGCGTCAAATAAAAGGCAAGGGATTGCAGCCATAGTATTTTAGAATGAGTTAAGGTGAGCGAGTCGGTTACAATGTATTAGTAAATATATGCCGAAAATATGTGCAGTAATTAGTGATTCCAAAACAAAGAAAACTGTAGCATCATCATTCATTATAATTATCATAAGGAGAAGAGGAAGAAGAGGAAGAGAGCCATAAAAAAAGATTCACAATTAGAATCGCTTTTAAAACGTAATAATTGAAGGACGTTCAATTCAATGATCGGAAAACTTCAATAATGTGTGTGAATATTAGAATCTGTAAAAAGCATTTTGGAAATTGATTTTATTTATGTACGACAAAAAATTTATTTATATAAAAAAGAAAGTATAACAAGCAATTCGCGTGATTCAACCATTTTTCCTTGTTCGGGGGGCTTATTAATAATAAGTAATAATAATAAATAAAGACAATTAAAATGATGATAACAAAGTAATACCAACTATATACAAAAAAAAAAATTTTCTTTCTAACAATGATCTTATTTCAGTAGATGATGACGATCTATCCAAAAATTTTGGGATTTATATAAAGTTTCATGTATCATAATTACTCAACTCACTCACTCACCCACTATTTTAATAATGGATGACACGACGACGGCAACGATGATGGATATAATATGGTTTAAAGGGATGCAACACTTATAACAATTACTGTACGGAATAAATAGAAAAAGAAATTATTATTTTTTATTTATACTACTACTTTATATTAATAAACTGCCGACCCCACCATATACTGCTGTAGTTCAAAAATGGGGAAGGGTTACACTAATCTTTATAGTAGAATATCAATCAACAAACAACGAAATATGTAAATCTATCTATCTATATATATTAATATATATATATATATATAAAAAATCAAAAAATCCTGTTCAAAATCTAGAAATTTGATAATTCCCTTCTCCACAAATTACCTCTTTTAAATTAAATAGTAAGCTTAAAATGTAAGATGTTTATTTAAGTATATTTAAATATATTATATATTATATATTGAAAATCATTTATATAAATATAATATTCATTCGTGAGCAATTTGGCAATATCGTTCGAAATTAGTGTTAGATCACATAATGTTGTAATTGACCAACATAATAGTATATAGCACGAACCAACACTAACACCTACCAGCACATACCAAAATAGTCTGCAACAAAATAACGGGCACTCGCTATAATATTAATGTTTTTTCATTTTAAAATATTAAATCGAGAATTTTACGCCTCCAAATTTATTTTAAACAATAATTATATTTTTTATAAAAATCTATAATATTGTTTTTTTTTATTATAATAATAAATAAATAATAAATAATTAAATCACACACAATCAATTTTATCATCTTTTATTTTTATTTCTTCTCTCTCATTATTTATTTATTTGGTTACAAAAAAATGCGGGGAAGAATTTCTCATTATTTTATCATTGTTATCAATAATAATTATAACAATGATTACTTTTAAGTGATATTTGTTATATAGTTATGCTTTCGACATTTATTATTATCCACTCATTCATCCGGATAACCATAATAACGTGCGCACATCCTTCATCTCGCTTGTCTCCTCTTTACCAGAAATTTACTCATTCATCATCTTTATTGTACAAAAAAAAATATTATTTCCGCTAATCTAATTAATAATGATGCTATTATTACCCCACGACAAATATATTTCCCTCCAACATCATCTACCCACCACACAACCACACACGCGCGCACACACACTACAATACACAAAACTACAAAGATTATGATGAGTGCCTGTATTGATAATAATAGTAACTACAAATTAAGAATGATTATTATCACTAATCACACATTCACACACACACATACACACTACATAACACATACATTATTGTTATTATTACTATAAAGTATTAGTAAGTTCTATACATGAAATAAGAATTGTTTAATTAATTTTTATTACTATATTTATAATTATTTATTTATTTTTAAGACTTTCATCCTTTCATTGAATTCCATGGACGGAGAAAAGGTAAGAAATAATAGCGAACGAAAAGAATAAAGAATGTATTGAACATTAATTACGCCGCGTAAGATAATACGGATGCTTGTAAATGGATGGGAAATACAGCATTGATTGAAATTAGCAATTTAATTGAATTATCGATTGAATTCTATGTATGTGCAATAGTAATTTTATAACAGATGAATGGGCGAAAGAAGAAATGATAAAATAATATAATTACGAAAATAAAGATGGGGAAGAAGCGAAGAGAAATATTTTAAAATATATATATAATTATATTATTAATTTATTATAATAAATGTTAGTATTTGTATTATCGCTATTATTATTCATGGCTTCCACGCAACAACAAAAACAATAATAAAATTATTATCATTATCATCATTTTTCCCTATGATGACACAATAGTGATGATTATTTTTATAACGATTATATTGTTTACTATTTACCGTGTGATTATACAACAACACACATAACATTGGAGTTCAAGTGCGCACAATTTTTAATAATTAAGGATTGATTTAACAATTTATTTTAATTTTCGCTTCTTCAATCCCTTCCTTCATTCAATTCCCTCAATTCCTTCAATTTTCTCGAGATTCTCTAATTAATTAATTAATCTAAACTTTATAAAGTATCTCATTTATATTATATTATCATATATATATGAAAGAAAAGATTGTTGTCATTTAACAGTTTAGTATTGATGTTCCTAATTATACATATCTGGTAATTTTTTATTATAGTTTTGCGTTATCATCACACAAAACATATTTTGTATTTATTTCGCACTAATATAATAACTGATAATAATATTATTATCATTAGTAACAATCCGTTATAATATTTATTTGTAAAAATTTTTTAAAATTATTTATTTATTTATTTATTTAGTGCACGTTTTTTAAATATATTTTCTTAAGCGTAAATAAAAAAATAAAAACCCTGTAATGTAATTATAAAATCATCCAAAGAAACTTTGTATTATATATATAATATAAAATAAAAATTTCTGTAGGTTTTTTGTTTTTCCCAAACTTCTTTAATTTTCATTTCATTCCATTTATAATAAAAAAAAAAAATGTTAATAATAATATTATAATATATATATATATATTAAAAAAAATATAAATATATTTATTCAAAAAAAAAAAAAATTTATTATTTTTAGTTTTTAGATAAAAAAAAAAATTTTTCTTTATCATTTTCCCTTTCTTCTTTAAATATTTTTTTTTTCTTTTTATTAATCTTTATAATATATAGATAGATAGACTTGTTATTTTATATTTATTTTCTTATAATAATAATATAATAATAATAATAATAATAATATACATTTTTGGTTTTTCTTTACTTTTAATTTTCTTTATTTCATAATTCTCCCTCGTGGCTTTAACCAATTCTAAAAAGTCGCGACTATAATTTAATACATATATAATAATAATTAATATAATACATAATATATAAAAAATATAGATTTCTTTTAAATATTTTCTTTGCATATATATATATATATTTATATATACATATAAACACATATTGTTTAATTTTATAGAAGAATCCTTTATTTTTATTTAAAAAAAATAATCTAAATTCTTTTTTGGATTTCTCGAATTCTCTTTTTAGACATAAATTTTTTACTTTGAAAAAACAAAGGTAAAAAATATATATTTATCAGTCAAATCAATATAAATAGATTACAACAATAGATCTAGAATCATCAAATTCATCATCAAAACCAAAAATCAAGAATCAGCATTATAATCATCGTCAAACAACATTAGAATCAACGACAACAAAAGGAGTTCTGTAATTTTATTTATTTATTTCAATTTTTATTCCACTGGCTCCTAATCTATTAGTATCGTCAACACCACCGACAGATTCTCTTCTGTCATCATCATCGCCTTTTTTCATAATGGATCCACCAAATCATCATTGTTCTATTATTGTTGTAGATCGTTCTTGTACTGAAAAGAAATATAATAATAACAATAATAATAATAATTCAGCAAGGTCTTCAAAGTTATTTTTTACTTCTTCTTTTTCATCACCGTCATCAAATATTGGTTCTTATGGTAGTGATTTTAATGGCAGTGGATATGGTGATAGTGGTTATGCTAGTGGAGCTAGTAGTCACGGAGCAATTATAAATGGTAGCATTATTAGCAGTGATGCTAATAATAACAATAATAATATCAGTAGCAGTATTACCGGATATAATATTAATGGAATAAATGATTCTGTTAATAATGTTGATCAAGGTCTTTTTGACAACAGCAACAATAATAACAATAGTCAAAGCGTTGATGATTTGATAAAAATATTTTTATCAATATTTTCTGAAGGTATTTAATAATTTTATTTATATTTAGGTTATTGATCGTTGATTGTTGTTTTATTATTCCTATTATTTTTATTTTTATTATAATGATAATCAATTATATTTGATACTATCTGGATTGCATGATTTATAATGTGGAAGAAAGTAGTTTGGTGGTTTAGTATTGACCATGATTAGATATTATTAAAATTAATTAGATCTATAAAAAATAAATAAATAAATAAATAAATAAATAATAAATAATAATTATAAATTAATAATTGATTTGTTGTTAGGTGGTACAACACATATATCACTAATTATCACTAACTTTAACTTATTTATTTAATAATATAGTGATAACTGTTCCATCAGGAAAACGAGCAATGACTAATTTAAGAGAAAGTCGTTTGCCAACGATAGTATTAATAGACATAGATCATACAGATGGTGTTAGTAGAGATTTATATGCTAGAAGAGAATCTTTTGTGGCAATGAAAGACGGCATTTCATTACCAGAGTTTACTACTACAAAAGATCCCTTATACGGTTTGGAATTGTTGAAATACATTACTTCAGAAGTGTCGAAAGGAAACCTGGAACAAGCTATTCCTATTGGTATTTATTTGTATTTTGTTTTAATAATCGATTAATTGATTAATTAATTAATAAAACTTTTACTAATTTATCAATTCTATCAATTCATGTGCAATTTCGTAACAGTATGTTCTTGGAATGATTCCCCAGAATTAATGTTAGATTGTTTAAACAAAGGTGCTGCTGACTATTTGATAAAACCTATTCGCCAAGAAGTTGCTAAAACTGTTTTCTTGGTAAAAAATTTTTTATTATTTTGGAATAGATGGATTGGGTAGCAATAATGACCCAAGGTTTTTTTTTTACTTTTAAAGAAGCATGTATAATTAATTAATTGATTGATAATTATATATGATAATATATAGCATCTACATAGATATAATAGTATTATAGGAAACATCAATAAACATTCACATCACACGACCACAACAATAGAATTTCCAAAACCTTTAATAAGAAGAATTTCAAATTTTGAAGAAAGACTTGATGATTTTTTTATAAAAGATAAATGGTATGCAATGTTTATTTTATTATTTTATTTTTATTTTATTTTGATTGTTAGATATCAACAGTCTTTCTAAAAAATAAATCTTATTTTTGATAATCATCATGAAGGTTAGCTGAAACAATTATTGAATATTATACACCACCAGAATTAGATATAAATATTGCATATATACCAAGGTATGCCATGGATCCAAAAAAAACCAATTGTTATTAATTGTATTTAACTAATAATGCAAATATTTAATACAAAAATATAAAAAAAAGTTAGAAAAAAAAATATAATAAATCTTTTTTATAAAAATTAAAAATAAACGAATAATAACAATAAATTATGTTTTAGGTTGGATTCTGCTTCCGAATTGGAAAGAGTCAATTACTTAAAGAAACAATTAACTAATTGGGAATTTGATGCTCAGAAATTGAGTGAGGAGGATTTGTTAAGATGCGTTGTTATTATTTTTGAACATGTTATGGATCTTGATGACCTAAGACAATTAAATGTTCCGTCAGGTAGCTATTTATGTATATATAAAAATAGAGTGTGCGTGTGTCCATGCATATATACGCTTCTTTTTCATGATTGTTCATACATACTTACTTTATATATATAATTTTTTTAAAACATTGTCTTTACAAGAACAATTACATCGATTTTTATTGGCAATAAGACAATCGTACTACGACAGCAATCCATATCACAATTTTACACATGCAGTCGATGTACTACAAGCAATGTTTTTCTTCTTATGTGAGATGGGCTTGATACCACTTTTTTTTTCTTCTGCTAGTAGTGGTTATAAATATACTGATAGATATAGACGAAGAAGTAGTAGCAGCAGCAAAAGTAAAAATGGTAGTAAAAGTATGAATGGTGGTGGATGTCGTCCTAATGAGTTATTAAAAGACGCCGATTCCTTTGCTTTGTTGTTGGCTTCTATTGGACATGATGTTGGACATCCTGGTGTTAATAATTTTTTTTTGGTATGGAATATTTATGTTTTTTACATGTATGCGTGATTTTGTTTTTCATGTATGTGGTTATGCTAGAATTATTTCTATTTGCTTGATTTCAATTTTTATAGACAAATAGCCAAGCTCCCCTGGCACATTTATATAATGATAAATCAGTACTTGAAAGTTTTCATGCAATGACTTTATTTACTTTAATGCAGAAATATGGATTCAAAGTATATGAAGGCGAAACTGAATATAATTCAAAATATGCTGGTACATACACACACATATAAATTTATATATTGACCGGAGGGTTTTAAAATCAATATTTTTTCTTTTAATGAATATTAATAATTTCAATATTATTATTTTAGAATTTCGTAAGGTTGTAGTAAACGCTATACTGGCAACAGATATGGGGTTACATAATGAATATGTCGTGAAAATAAGAGATCAAAAAAAAAGACTCGGATCTGGCAATTTTGATATAAAATCGGAACAAGAAAAAAATATAGTCGTAGGCGCGTTGATTAAATGTGCTGATATCAGTAATGCAGTAAGCTTCTTGATATTAATGATAATAAAAAAATATATATTAAAAATTAAATTTTTTAAATTTTTGTTGCTAATATTTATTTCTTGTTTTTTCCTCTTCTCCCCGACCTTCATCATATTAAAGGCAAGACCATATCATATAGCAGCAGAATGGTCAGATGTACTGTTGAAAGAGTTTACATGTCAGGGTAATTTAGAAAAAAAATTAGGGCTGCCTGTTAATCCGATAAATAATGGTCAAATATCACAATCAGATTCTCAAATTTCTTTTATTGATATATTTGCTATGCCATTGTTTAAATCTGTCAGCGAATTAATTCCAGGTACTTAATGTATTTGAATATTAAATTAGAAAAAATTTCATATATATAATTTCTTTTGTTGATAATTAATTAAAAATTTATTTTCGGAAAAATAATTTAGAGTTGAAATTTTGCGTAAATATTATTAATTCAAATAGAAAAGTATGGCAAGATAAAAAAGGTGATTTCGGTGATAGTACTAATACTACTATTTCTAATAGTAACGATGATGATGATGCACGATCAATTAAACATAATAGCACCGGTAAGGATTCAGGGATTAATGGTAAGATAATGATAATGATATATGGGTCCGTTCGTTGGGTTGGAGAGGCATATAGAACCGGTAGAAATTTGATTTCAAACTTCAATATCAAGTAATAATTTTCTTTTTCCATTTCTTTTTATTTAAATAGTTGATAGTCGACAAAATTCACCAATTGTTAGCGTACCAGCCGCAAGAATACTGTTATCGCATCAATCATCATTAACATATCTAAAACCAATTAACCCAAATTTACTTGAAGGTGGGTCGGAAGTTGAATCACAATATTCCACAAATGAAGCGCTTAGTACTGCGGAGGCATCTGATGCACCATTAACTCAGCACAATCAACAATTACAAAATGGTGATGATGACGGAAGTATCGATGGCGGTATTGGGGGAAGAAGAGGAAGTAGAAGTAGAAGTAGAAGAGAGAGTGCAATTAGCGGAATTGGAGGAGGGGGGAGATTCTATAAAAATAAATTTATCAATTTAAATAAATTTAAATTTATAACGAAAATGAAACAACAACGAAACCGGCAATCAGCATCATCCAATCTTCCTAATAATAGTGGAAATGATGACTCTCGTATTATCAGTGGAAGTAGCAGCATTAATGGAGATAATAATAGTATTAACACCATTGATGATAACATTAATAACATTCACAACAACAACAATGATAGTAATATCCATGATGTTAACAATAGCAGCAATATTCAAGGCACCAATACTATTATTATTAATAATAATAATGGCAACACTGATCAACGTATTAAAAGAAAAGGAAAAGTATTATGTTGTTCTATACAATAATTATCATTCGTAAAAATGTTGTGGTATAGTAATGACATGGTAAAAATCTGTATATATTAATATATATGTGTAAATACACGCATTAAAGGTGCCGTGTCACTTACACTACTTCTTCTCAGCAAACTTTTTTTTGTGATTGGAAATCAGAAACACAAACACCCGTACAAAAAAAAATATAGGAAATCAGAAACACAAACAAACAACACAGGAAATGACAATCACACACACAGCACACACAAGGCAGCAAGCAGGCAATTAAGCTAGTTACAAATCCATAATAAAAACTAAAAAAAACGAACACAAACACAAACAACGAAACTTATTAAGGGATAAAAAACCAAAAACGGTCGATCACCATATATCTCTTTCATTAAAGGGGGTTTTTTTTGACAAATGACCGCCTGATCATTTGATTTAATTATTGGAGATACTTTTTTGGATATATAATATTTAAATGATACACACACATTTTCTTTTACATACACACTACATGCACACACACATATATATGTATAAATGGATATTTAATAATATATTAAAAATCGTTTCGATTCGTTTTTTTTATTATCATCTTAAAATTTTGTTTTTCTTTGTCCGTGTGTATCAAATCAAAACTTGATCATGTTAGAAAACAACAATGGAAGGAGGGTTTGAATATTCGTTTATTTTTTTATATTTTGGTAGTACAAGGTTGCTCACCGCCACAACCATGATTGTGATATTTTATTGCTTTGTTTCGTAACTTCATTGCAAAAATCAAATTTTATTAGCTCGATGATCAATTCGAATTTAAATTAAATATACGGTAATTTATTCATTCTATTTCTGTTATTGATAGAGTTTTATAATTAATTAATTTATCTCTACTCTTTTTATTACTCTGTTTATCTTCATTAGTATTATCATTGTCTAGTAGAGTTATTATTTTTTGATTTATTATTACATAAATTATATATCTTAGTTTCCTCTTTTAAATAAAATAATTATTAATACAATTATTGACAGTTCGTTGTAATGACAATCTTATGAATATAAATTTACTTCCACACTCGCTATTTATCCCGCTATGACATAATTTGTCAAAAGTTCTTTTCTAGCAAAAGGTAGCTTAAGTGCCCCCTGACCAAAATTGAGTTTTTTGCATAATATGTATTTATATTATAAGGATTATAACTGGTGAAAAAATCAGGTCATGTTTACTTAATAAAAAAATGAGTGATTGGGCAATGAAGAATTTTTTAAATTAATTTGCAAAATAGGTTTGAATTGATCTACAACCCCAAATTTTATTTGTTACACGAAATTCGATAAAAAAAAATTTATTATAATACAAATGTTTATTAAATTAAATAATTGATAAATATTTATATTAATAATAAATAGGGTTTGGACAAAGAATATCTTTATATGGATTATCTACATGCTGACGAATGTTGGTATACAAATAATTTTTCCGGTCTTCTGATAAAGGGACAACTTCAAGAAAATTTAGTTGTGTATTTTTATCAAAATTAGTATTCTTCAAAAGATTATAAGAATATTCTTCTCCACCAGATTTTTTTTGAAAAATAAACTATTCCAATATCAGCTGTCAAACTACTAAAGCGAAAATGATGATGCTTTTTTATATTTGGTAAAGTTCTAAAATGATCTTTTAACATGGAATTAAAGTCTTTCCATTTCCAACCTATCCCATTATCATATCTAATAGATTTATTATGTATAGATGATTTGTTTATAACCATCTCAACATCATCAACAGTATTTATACAACTGTTCTTGTATGCTTTTTTAATAGATCCAAATTCAGCATCACAAATAAATTTTGTGTGCCCAGGTATCATAAAATTTATATAAATATTCTCATACCAACCCAACATTGTTAACCATGACCAAAACCAAAGAGACAAATTGTTTTTATTTTGTCCAGGACAATTATCACATGTGACATAAAGATCTTTTTTATCAACATGACGATTCTTTAGGAGAAAATCAAAAACCATATTTAAAGTTGTGTTGGCTCCTTTTTTTGATTTTCCTTCTGGTAATTCATCTTCTCCTATAGTATAATTTAACTGATTATTTTTTCCATCATCTGTCTTACATACACCAAAAAGGTGTATGATGAAAGGGGATTTGAAATAAATTGATCCAACTTGCTGAGATGAAAATGGAGCTGCAACACTTTGGGCCCAATCATAACAAATGTGTGTTACTGTTGAATCATTTTTGCTTTTTTCAATTATGTTGGTATAATGGCTTCTTTCCTGTTCTGCATCTGTTTTGTGATTTTTGTATTCAAATTTAAGATTTTCTTTTTCATCATCATCATTTGTAAATCTTATATCTCTTTCAAATGCTTCACAAGTATCACAAAGATCAGTTCCAGGTGTTTGGAATTTAATGTATGGTGTTAATTGTTTCCATAGTTTGTAAAATGTATTATATTCAATTGGTCTAATAGATTCATATTCCAAATCAAAATAATTTCTAAATTCCTCATATACTGTAGTGTAATTTAAATAAGTTGGTAAATAAATGATTAATTCTGATTCATCCCTCATTCTCATAGGAGATGGTAATCCATGTAAATTTGAATATTGCAATAAAAAATTCTTAAATAATTGTGCAATTTTGAGATCAACTATTGCACGTGATTTATTTTGAGGAACTTTACCAGTATTACCATGTATGCGACTTATTAAACCATCTGTTTTTAAATGTTTTTGCAAGGCTATTAATTTTTTTTTACTAAAACCACTTAGTTCTAAAAAAACTGGTTGACAAATTGGTATTGTTGAATTATATTGATAATTATAAGTATCTCTTTCTGTTTCATCATTGTCATCCTCATCATTTAATTTAAAAACCATCAATTGTGTTTTAATACAAAGATCCAGTTCATTGTCTTCTAATCCTTTTAACTGGAATTTTCTTTCCAAAAAATTTCTAAAGCCAATTTTTTTAAAACATATTTTATCTTTTTTTTTACAACATTTGCAATTTGATTCATCTTCAAAAAATAATTTCAAATCCTGGACTGCTTCAGATACTAATTCATTTGGTTCATATGCTTCTAATCCTAAATCATATAATTCATCTGGTAAAATTGAATTTTCAGGTGATAATTCCATGCCATTTTCTAGATTTAAATTACTTGTGATATTACTATGAATTAAATCTACAGATGATTGATTTAAATTTGAAAACATGTTATAATTATAAATGGTAAATTTTTTAATAAATAAGGTTTAGGTTTTATTTCAGATGTTTTATACTAGATATTTGGTTTTTTATAAAAATTTTTTTTATAAGAAATTTTTGCATTATTTATAAAGAATTAATTAATGAAAATTCAGCCATTCCACCAAAATTTATTTTTAAATTTTTGCCCTACCAAAAATTCGGCCGTTTCACCAAAATTTGTTATGATAAATTTTTGGGGTTCAAAACAATCAATTTTCGTGTAACAAATTTTCAGAAGTCATTTTCTCAAAATAATTTAATATGACTTAAGCTACCTTTTGCTAGAAAACCCCCCCATATAATATATTGCTGAGAGCTATAATTAAACTATATGTATAAAAAAAATTAAAAGTTGGTACTAAAAATAAAGACTTGTATTATTAACTAAGTTCAAATTCTTAGTGAATGTATAAGTTAAACTTATGGGAATGACTTTTAAAATTGCTAAAGTTTATTTTAAACTAAATAACTTCCATCAACACACAAATATCTGTTAAATATTTCTTTTAACTTCTATACTATATATTTATGATCCATGAAACTAATTCCTTAGTTTTTATTTTATACATGTTTAGTAATAGTTGTTTTAGTAATAATGGAAAATAACTAAAAAAGAGAAAGGTAAGCAAATAAATATTTTTATTTATTTATTTAATATTCCACATTAGATACAATACATGCAAACTCATAATTACTCTTTAGAAAAATTTAAAAGAGCAAATAGTTGATACATGCTTTGGTCCTAATAATCCATATTATCATGCTATTACAATGAAAGGAGATATATCAGCTGGTAATATATTTCCATTGAGTATACATAAGGAAACTATTTCTTTAAAATTAAGATTAAACAGAATAATTCAGTATATCTTACCTTTTATGATATCCAAGAAACAGAAGAGATCATAATAAGATGGCCATCCCACAAATTTTAATAACATGAATGGACTATGAAAACCATCATTTGGCCATTTTAAAAAATTTTAAGTACTGGTTGGATATTGGTTGTTTTATCTATTAAACATGCAGATTTGCATCAAAAAAAAAATCAACAAAGAAATTTTACTTGCCAGGATGGTAAAAAATTGTGGTTGAAAAAAAAAGATAGAAATGATGAACTAAGAATAGTGCTCAAAGAATAAATAAATATTTTTGTGTATATAGTATAAACTAATAAAAAAAACAGTAAAACTTATTATAACAAGCACCTGAATCTGTTTGTTATAACAAGGTGTATGGTTGAACAGGAGGGAACGTCCTATATAAGGAATGGATTTTCACAATTGATTTCAATTTTTTTTATACAGTTTAAAATAC